AAGATCAAAAGGTCTTCCCCTTCATTCCTCAATATCTCAAAACAAGGGCCTTTCGGACGGCTCCGACGCTAAAACATAGCGACATTATCTGGTGGCCTGCAGGTGTCACAACAAACAGGGGGTTGGCCTTTTTGCAACCTGGACCGCAAGGTTTGTGAAGGAAAGCACGCCCAAAGTCAGGACAGGCTTTCTTATGCTATGTACGCAAAAGAGAGCAACAAAGCCAGAACAAGGTTGCACCCATTGCCCAAAAGCGAAGGTCTCATTGGAAGCCAAGGGAACTGAAAACTAAACAGGAGGGGAACCCAACAAAAACAACTGCTGGATGGGGCACAAAGGAAATCAATGCACCACCTTTAGCAAGGGCACGCACTGCCGCTGTTTGATGGGTGCGGGCAAACACGTCCAGAAACTGTGACCGAAGGTGACTCGCAACATAAGCTCGGTAGAAAAAGAAGAAACGGAAAAAGAAATGGACTATGGACGACTGGTGCCGAGTTCGCTAGAATGTAGCCCCTGGCAAAGAAGAACTAAAATAACACTGAAGAGGAATTGCAATTTGCTTATTGCTCCACAAATCCTGAAAAAATTGGTTGGCTTGTGGGCGGACCCACGCACATGGTCGCGAAGAGTCAAGTGCTACGTACACAAAGGTCTGATCAAAAAGCACCCAACCGCTTCAGTGGCGCAAAGACAGTGTTTGATCCCAGTTAACGCGATATCCTCGACCCTGCAACCACGGCCTTATGTTGCCAGTTCTCAGTAGGGAATCGTTTGAAGGGTTTTGAGAATGAACCCAGGAATCTCCTTGAACGAAACTACAAACGGACGGTTGATAGAGGTCACTCCGATTCCTACTGAGAACTTGCGAGATATCCTCCCGTGATACATGCCTGTCCCAACAGAAAAATCCTGAAGGCACATGCTTGGAAGCTTTCTGAAAGGGACAACCAACCTTTCCGGGAAAAGAAACTGACTGTTTGAAAGAAGATACTGGGCCCTATTTAGACACCCTCTTGGTTGTCCCTTTTCTCTTATCCGCTCTTGGCCAGACTTTGACCCCTTGCAATGTGCTGGTTGAAAAGGCAAACCAAAAAGGCGAAATGGGCAGATTTGCAAGCTCCGTCAGACCAGGCAAGTTCGGAGACCGAAAAGTCAAGCAGTTGCAGCATTTGTTTAACAAAGGTAAGCTACTCCCCCCCAAAAAAAGACACACACCAAGTTTAAAGGCACCTACATTTGCGTTCCTGCCGTCCATTTTCAGGGGAGCGTGGAGGAACTTCTTTCGCCTTTTCCCAGAATGTCCACAGGGTCAGTTCGGTGCTCTCACGGAGAACAAGCTGAGAAAGGCCAGCTAAAATTAGGACAAGGAGTAGTTCGTTTGCCCAAGCACGACCCTATAATGAAGTCAAATCAAACCCTCCAGAAACAAACACTAACTTAATTATCAAACGGTTTTTGCCTCGCTCCCGTGGAGCCAATACAAAGGGCTCCAACCATCACCAACCACTTTCAAGGTGGTTCCCTACTAAAAATATAGCCATATAACCAGGACCAAATAACAAACCTTTCCTTAACAATACATGGGAATGTGTTTGTTTCTGGTCGCAACCAGGGGGATTGTTAGGTCCATGTAAAACAAAAGAGCTTTATGTGGCTCGTCTTTTTTCCGGGGGTACAGCTTTTGGTTGATTTTCAAGGGAGCCCAAAAGGAACACTGACGCCATTTTCGGGGGTCCCCTAAAAAGACACACCCAACCATCCTCTTTCCAATGAGGAAGCCAACAGGAAGGTCTTCTCAACCCAAAGGGCCCGGGAATCAGAGACAATCACCTTTAAACTGAGTAGAACCAGAAGTCTACAGATTTTGTTTACCAGCAAAATGGCCTTGCCTAAAAGCGTACAGGCCATAGCCGAAAATGAGACCCCCGAACAAGGTCCCACGCTCTGAGCTCTTGGCCAGCTCAGCGCTGGGAGCTCCAGGGCGACGCGTTGGGAGCCTACCCCACCGGGGGAATTCTATGCCGGTGGGGAACCAACAGATTGAAGCAATGTTGGTTTGAAGAAAATGGGCTTTAACCAATTTGGTGTCAAGACGATTGGCTTAAGCAGAAAGAGGTTTAACGAGATTGGTAGAGATTGGATCAAACGAAATTGGTTTAAGAAAGATTGGGTCACAGAAGAGAGGAGACTGGTTTAAGCGGGATTGAGATGGGTTTTCACACGTGCGGTTTCAAGCAGATTGCTTTGAGCAAGAACCGTTCAACGAACACTTGTTTTAGCAACAAACGTTTCTGAAGGAGTGTGGTTTAAGCAAGAGTTGTTGTAGGAGATTGGCTTAATTTAAGCGACAAGGCTGGCTTAAATCATAGTTCACAAAAACACTGGCTTAAAGGAGATTGGCTTAATCGAGATTGGTTTCAAGAGAATTGGTTTAAACAAAATTGGTTTAACCAGATTGGTTGAAAAGGCGAGAACCAAGAAGCGGGCCCTCTCTGAGTTGCAAAGCTTTGCTCAATATGTCCTCATACAAAAGCCTGCACAACAAAAACCTCCCCCTCAGGCAGCTTGTTGTCGCCAGGGGGAAGCTACACCCACTATCTGGCTTGCGCCGTCGTTGAGGAACAAACCCAAATGCAGCAGGCAGGGATGCTGGCCCTGCTTGCAATGTTGGAAAACCAATTCAGCACATGCTAGATCCTAATCGACTCGTCATAGTCAAAGTAGGCTCCATTGAAACAGACATGATTGAACATGCTGCCAAATGCCAGTGACTTGCCCATCATTGATCGATGTTTCACATGTATTTTGATGAACCACCGCCACCACCCAAGCAATCGAGTTACGTGTGTATATATATATAACGTATGTATGTGTATATATATATATATATTACAAATATATATATATATAATCCCCGCAAGGCGGGCTGAAACATTATCTCCGACTACGCCCAAAGCCCAAACCTAGGATTCACACCTTTTCTACACACCCACTTTGTCAGAAGGCCAAGCAAGATGTTGCCACACGACCTCCGGGTGTCACACCATCCCTGCCAACTCCCCCTCGCCTGCGGAAATGGCAACGCCATTCTGCTCCTGAGAGGCGACTATTCTCGATGCCAAGCAAGGCGAATAAATAGGAAGAAGGTAATTCTTGGACATTCTGATTCAGTAGTTGTTTTTGTCAGCCCCTCGAGAAAAAAACAAAACAATTGAGTTGTAGGGGCTGGCCAAAAGCCTAATTCTAGGACGTTGATTAACCAGAAGTAGCCATCGGGGTTTAATTCCCGCATGGTTCAGCATTTGGTTTGTCTAGTCGAGGACCTGCAATGCCTCAGGGGGACCTAGAACTACTCAATCAACCACCCGTGGATTCTGATGATGGAGGTGTCCCATTTTGGAAGAGATGCTTCACAGTTGGAACTTGGCCCAAGGAACGGAAACTTTTGCGACTGACCATCCCCAGGGTTGTGCAGTGAAGTTTGCGGCTGTGCTTTTTTCAAAATACCACAAAGCTTCAGCGGGATTTCTCATTCGTTAAGTGGTTTCCCCCCAGTGGTCATCCCATGTAAAGGACCTTTTGATCAACCCTAATTTGGGACTTAGCCCTCCATCTGCTTAAGCCCCCAGTAAAAAAGAAAATCCAATAGATTCCCTTCAAAGCCAACAGGGGAAATAGAAAAGACATATGCTTCAGCAAACGGAAGCAGCGACGGTAGCTTCCAATCCGTCCTGCACCGAGTGCACCAGCACACCTCCGGGACCGCTGAAGGCGCACAGGGCAGCGCCGCCTGGGCGCGACAGCCACACAGCGGCGACGTGGCGTGACCTCCTTCAACCACAAAGCGGCCATGAAAGGGTTTGTGAGGTGACCTCCCTGAAGCTATCGTGCTATGTTGGGCCCATTCTACCCTTGCCGAGCCAAAATGGTGCCAATGGTCAAAACATCTGCTTAGGACAAGTGAGCTTAGCAGACTGGTCAAAAGGGGGGGAGTGGGCCAGAACTGCTATCGGTGACTTAAACATGTTACAGCCAGCAACTTGCCAACGCCTGACTTGGCTGGTTGTTTTGCACGGTTCGGTGCTGGGGATGGCTTATTGCTAGCGTTCGAGACCGGATCTTGGTTTGATTCGTGCCTCTTGCACTTGGCTTGAGCTTCATGCAGGCGTGCCTTTGTGGAGTGCTGGATGTCGGGTTGCAGGTCTGAAAGGGTCTGAACCGCCTTGCTTGACGTGTTTGCTCAGTCGCCATGCGACAAACACACCACATCCTTTGTTGGTGCTTCAAATTTCCAAGGAGAGACTCCAAACAAACAAAAGGGTGCCACATTGACATGACAAGTGAGTTGAAGTTTCAAATACAACAAGAAACATGTCACCAGACTAAGCTGCCGGAGTAGCTAAATCCAAGGCAAAGTACACTGGTATGCTTTTGAGCTACAGTGTGCATCTGCCATCAGCAAGCAGATCAGAGCGTCAAATCGTTTCTTGCGGTTGCGAGTGATGAATCGGGGCGAACAAAAATACTAGTCAAATCGGTTGCTGCTTTGGTGGGGGATCCAGCGTCGGATCCGGGATAAGTTCATAATCGGGGTTCTTCTGACTCAGTCGCTACTTGGAACAAATGCAAAGTTCACCTTGCTTTGTGCGCCTGTCCACACCACAGGCACGGATTTTCCGATGTTGGAGACCATTGTCGCGACAACTATCACCCCCAGAACGGTGCACGAAACATGTTTATTCAAGGTCCGGACCAACTCCATGCCAGAGCTTCTCATGCACTGCACTCACATCCGCCACTGCACACATCCCAAGAAAGCAAGCCGTTGCATGCCTGAGATCTAAGCATCGATGACTATTGCCGCCATCTACCAAAATACGTTTGAATCGCCGCTTTTTGGTTGTCTAGATGGGATCAGTTGGCAGCTTGGGACCCGACACATCAATCTAACATATCCAAGCGTGAAGGCAACGTGACTTCAGCCACATTTGCCAGATCCGTTGCCTTCTCCCTAAAAACATTCACACAGACAAACGCTTCGAGAGATGTGCCGACCCATTTGCTTCACTTGCCAAAAACGATCCCATAACAGCGTCCGCCTTCAGTCGTGGCAGCAGCTACCGTCCACGCCTGGTCGAGCAAGCAGGGACACAGCAAAGACTAAAGACCACCGCAACGTCCCATGGTTGTGTCTAGATTTTGAATGTGGGACCCTCCAAAGGGTTGGCTTGCTGAAGAACTCTTTCAAAAGACCAAGAAGTTACCTATCTTGACACAAACCCATTCATTGTGCTCTTTTGTGCATGCCTTGCAAAAAAGCTGTTTTTTGCGCAACAGAGCTGGCAACGCTTTGCATGTGGCTCACCCTGGCTTTACGATCTTGCTAATATCTTGCTGACCTTTATCGGGCTATCTCGAAGCATCTAGGCAAACGACTGTTATTCAGCACACCGCGAGCTCCATGCACCTGCGGAAAGCATGACCCCGAACACACGCAGGTGTCCTAAAGTTGAGGATCTCTTCGTGGCTGAGTTTGGAGTTTGAGAGTAGGAACCCCATGTGCAACGGTAAAAAACATCTTAGGCCACAGAAAGGCCTCAACAGGAACCCTTAGATTTGTCTGAACTCACTGAGACCAAGACGATTCTTCGTGACCCCAAGCGAAAAGCTCTGCATCCTGGCGGTTTGAACACTTGCTGAATGTTCAACTTTTAGTAGGGCATGTCGTAAATCCCTCTCAACTCTAAACATCTACAGTGTTTGCGTTTGGATGGACACCGCCAAGACATGGAAACACCTACATAATACCCATCACTGCCACCTGCAGCTGAACAGGAAGTCCAAGGAAGGTTAGGTTTTTGTGTTTTTGTGTCTTGCAGGAAACCAACACATACCTTTCAAAGCAGTTTGATAAAACAACTGAAACAACTGAAACATACACGGGCACGGGTGTGTCTCAAAATAAGGGAAGCCAACACAGGGGGTGGTTGTCCTTCTGATTCCCGAGAACACAACTCTGCATAACCAAGAACAAAAAGACTGTCTGATGAACAAGGCCCACAACCTGATCCCCCTAACTGAAATGTACCCTCTGACCACTCATGGAACTGGACAGGTGCCCGCCTTAAGATGCCTTGTCTTCCAAGCGTCTTCGGTCCACATGGGAAAAAGTGCAAGCTCTCAGTTCACACAAACCCACCTCCGTGCCGAGCGCCGCCTGGAAAGGAGACAGGCTCTCGCCTTTGGATTGCCGTCTGAGACAGGCTTCACTGCCTTTGATTCGATACCGCAAAACCGGGTTAGGTCTTGCATCCCCGGAGCGAGTAAGAACGCAAAACCAAGAAACCAGCTACACAAATACATAAGGAAATTGCCAAATTAAAAGCAAAATCCAGGCGGTGTGGCTCATTGTCATGAGATGGTCCTGCAGTTGGTTTGATAGAAAATGGCGAGCTCACGCTGTCTGCATCATCCTTGCCGAACAGGGTGGTCTTTTTGACGCCCTCTATGTGACCAGTTTGGCACGTCTGCGCAAGGCCAACAAATGACTGACCCTATGGTCGGCAGTAAGAACAAGCCTGATCAAAACAAGTCACAACGTTCCTGCAAAACAAGCCGATTCATTAACAAGTTAACCAGTATTTGTTTAATTGGTTCAAGCAAAAGCTCCACGCCTGCTTTGCGAAGCTTGATATTTGTTGATGTTGCACTTGCACGGTCCTTCTCTCCGTCGTCTACTCAAGCTTTGCAAACTCACTGGAACTCCTGCAGTGCCACTGAAAAGTGATCAACACGGGGGTTGCACCCTGTTTTGCCAACGTTCACATCTCAGGATAGTCAACGAGCCTTCATTGCCTTTTGCAAATGGGGTGGGACGACCTTGACAATTTAGGGAAGTGGGAGATGTGTCCATCATCCCAAATCAAGCACGATCCAAGCAAAGGTGACCATGCACATACAGGACTGCTGGCCCCTTTTAGCTGCAAGCAGTGCAGCAGCAGCAGCAGCAGCAGCAGCAGCAGCAGCAGCAGCAGCATCAGCAGCAGCAGCAGTAGCAGCACCACCACCACCACCACCACCAGCTGCACCAGCAGCACCAGCACCAGCACCTGCACCCCAGCACTCGCAGCACCTGCACCTGAACCATCAGCCCCTGGCAAACAACAAAAAAAACGAACACCCACACAGCCAAAGGGCCAGCATGTCTCGGTTCCAACCGACTTCCAGCGCCTGCGAGCAGCTGAAGCTTGGCGGCAGCAGGGTGCCCAGGCGGCAGCTCAGCCGTGACTGGGAAGCTGAGTCGAGTCGAGGCGCAGTCAGGGGCTGTGCGTGGCTTGGGGGCGTGGCATTGCTGGCTGTTGTGGGAGTGGCGGTTTGGTGAGACCTCAGGTTCTTGGAAGGGACTCATGTAAGAGCGCTTCTTGAAGGCTCCGGTGTTCTCACAAAACATGACGGCTGAGATGAGGGGCAATGCAGGGGAAGCCAAAAAGCAAGCGCTTTTTTCTTGGTCATTTCTATACAGGTCCCCGACCAAAGGGCATCTTCTCTGAGTGGGACCGAGGTGATCTGGGCATGTGGCGTCCAAGACTGTCCCCTATGCCTTTAGAGAGACCCACCAGAAGGTTGATTGAAGAGGAAAAGTGTCTTCCAGGTACAGTATCTTCCATCGGACTCCCTGTGAGTGAGGGTGCAGCTCAAAAAAGTGCTGTGTGCAGGTGTCGAAGCTTGGTTTGGAGAGGATGCCCACATTGGTATCCAGCCTGGGGTCCAGCGGTCCTGTAAACACAAATCACACAACAACCAGCTCCTTCACTGGATAGGCTTGTTTCCCGCACCAAGCCGAGTTTCTCAGCAGGACCGGAAACTGGATGCAGTCGTCAAAGCACCAGGAGACCGAGCCAACAAACCCCGCCAAACCAACCCAGTCACTAGTCCCTGCAACACATCACCCAGTGACCTAACCACGCCACCAAGACTCAGCCACCCAACCCACCCAGCACAAACGTTCAACACCACAAGCAAGCAAGCAAACAAGCAAGCAAACAAACACCAACAAACACCAAACACCCTACCCATCCAATCCTGCAACCCGCCAACACCGTGTTACAAACCACCAAAGAGCCGCCAGGTCGCCCGTCGGCCCCCAGCTCCTGCCTCTGAGGCCGAGAACCCCATGGCGCAGCGGGGCGTGCAGCTCTCCCCGTGGCGGATCACCTACCAAAGCCAACCATGCTGTGGATGAACAAAATCCATTGCGCACCACTTTGAAACCATGGGAACCCATTGTTTGTTGCTATTTACAGGGGAATCATTCATTCCAGGGTTTATTAGGTGATGCAGGATATCGTCAATCCACAGTAGGAAACCAAACTGAAGGGAAACCATCCACTTTTGGTATCTGAAGATAAACCAAAAGGAGACCAACCATAGGAAATGGAAGCCCTTTTTGAGTATGCGGGGTGTTGTTTAAACTGGGGAGCACCAAGATTTACAATCCGCAGGACACCATAAAGCGATGCATCTTACCCTTTTTTGTGGGAGGGTACAAACCAATGGAGGGTACAAACCAATCAAATGGCAATGGAGGGAGAACAGATTTGATTGGATAGCTGAAAAACACACACTCCGGGAGGCAACCCCCCTTTTCCCTATCCACCCAGGGGCCAAATAACCGCCATCTGCCATGTCATGTGTCGTTTCAAGGCAACCAGAAAAACCACCTAGTGGAGACCTCGCTGGAAAAGGCGCCCCTTCCTATCCCACCATAAAAGTTCCACTACAAAAATGGTCTTCCCAGAAAGCGTAAAGTCGATGAACTCAGGGAGTGAGCAAAGTGTATACTGGCCCCAGGAGCACTTAGCTCGTTCCCCTTCCCCCTTGCGAGATTGATCCGCCGAGTACGAGATTGTTCGGCCTGGCCCTCCGAGCAGGAAGGGGTCTCGGCATTCACCACACCTTCGATCGGAGGAATTTCCAGGAAACCCACAGTGCAAGTGACGTGTTTGCGTGCGCCATGGGGAACCTGAAGTGAGACGAGAATTGGTATCCAAACAGATCCCAGCTACACCTAGGGCTAATCGGGTATCGAAGTTTGTTCTAGTCTCTGCGTGGGTAAATATCCCACTTCTCTTTAGGGGAAAGGGTTTGGGGAAGCTCTCTGAGAAACAGCCCGCTGGACGCTCTGATTGCAAGAATCCAGCAATTTACCCCGTGTATAGGTGATCTGTTTCAGAAATCATCGCGAATCCACGGTGGATGTGCCCGCGATCGTGGACAGTTTTCGCGGGGACTAACCGAAAAGAGCTTCATGTATCAGTTTGATACAAAAGACAACTTTGTGCAAATGATTGATTAGGCATTCCATGTTCGGAGTGACCAGTTGAGGCAAGAAAGAAGATGATGGCATGAAAAACCAACTGGAAACCTAAGATGCTCTTTACAGTATTCCACAACATGCTAGACCACACAACTCAACCTAATCAACGCCGACCACCAACACGAAACCTATGTTCAAATCAACGCTCATCAGCCAGCAACTCATACAACGTGGGTAAAAACTGCGCTATTAACTCCAAAAAGGAATCCTGGCGTCAAGACGCAAATGCCAGGGTCCATGTTCATCCCATGTTTACCAGCTAAGAAACTTCAACTATCCGATGCTGATTGTCGCATGGCAAAACAAGATAAGCCGACAAACTGAGGCTCTCACACTTCAGACTTTGACGCCCTTTTTAGTCAGTGCTTTCCTAGCGCCGTATATATGTCAATATGTTCCTAGCATCGGCGACCCACAAATGGTTGCTTGCCTATTAGTTGGCGCCCGTCTCTTTGCGGGTTTTCAGCCCTTTCCATCGATCCAGGTCCACCCCTTCAACCAGGTTTCATTTCTCTTCAAACCATTTCAATAAGGGGGCCAACTGGGCGTCAGCCCACTCCGCGCAAACAAACACGCGCCCTGCACAACAAGTCACATGATCAAAGATGGAGCAAACCAGGTTCTCCAAAAGGGATCATGAAGAAATATCCCACCCAAACACTCAACCATATGACTTGCAAAGCCCTTCAAATGGCGATGTACTCGTAACTGCAATGTTTGATCCCAGGGACAGTTCGGTTTTGAAGACAGGACCCCCCACAACTTGGCCCACATCCGCGGTACCCTGATTTTAATATGTTTTGTTTACGTTGCATACTACCGGTCTGGCTCAACTCGGCACGTGCTTGCGTCTCCGTGCGGTGCGTGCACCGCGGGTTCTGCGTGAACGGTCTTTACCTGGCGTCCCGAACATAGCACGAAGCCGAACTGCTCGCATGGCTTCTAGCCGCGCACGGCGTTCCTCGATGATGTGCCGGAAGCAAAAGCAGTGAGACTGCGCCACGGCTGCGGCTCTAGCTTCCAGCAGAAGTTACTCCAAACCATGAAATTCATTTTGTCGGGCCCTTACAAGCGGGCATCGTAAGTCACCCCACGTCGCGTTAAGTCACCCCAGCCATCCCCAGCCGCTTGGAACTACGCAAATCCGTTTAAGTCACCCCATGCGTTTTAAGTCACCCCATTCTTTGCAAAACACAATGGGCACAGAACTGGAAGGGCGATGTTGCCAACCCCAAGAATTCACCGCACACTGCACGCACATGCTCAAAACTCACTGGTTTGGGTTCATGTTTAATGCTTTTCCCGGGCAAAACCCTATTGGGCACACTGCAATTAAAGGGTTCCTATCCTTCAAACATAAATAGTGTTTTCTGTTGGTTCCTCCGGAACACCCGACAAAAGGGCTGCCGGCGCGAGTGCCGCGCGACTCTGCGCGAGTGCCGCGCGAGCGCCAGGTGAGCCGTGCCCTCATCCCAATGAACAATTTGCATGCGCACAGCACAGAATTACGCGATTTCAGAAAATGACATGCTTGAGACAACTATCTTTACATCCACAAACACAACGGGCACACTCACCCGGGACGACTTAGATCAACCTGGGACGACTTACAGCACTTACCCTGTAACGGATTGAGAACCAAGGCCACATAGCCATTGGCTTGTGTATGGTCTTGTCTCTAACGGCCGAATGCATGCACCCATCTTGGATTGAACCCCTAGATTGGGTATAATTTTCGGAAAACAGCCGCCACAGGAGCGAGCCAATGTAGCCACAGGTTCATATCGTCAAGGGTTTCGCGCAATTTGGCTACGAGTCATCCGGCAAAGTGCTTAATGGACATGGGCGATGCCTCGGTGGCACGCTCGCGGATGATTTCGGCTCGTTGCAGCGTTTAAGGCGGGCTGCGGTTTATGGCGCCCCCGTATATACAGGGCTCCTCCGGCAACTAAGGTGACCATTCTGAACCATTCTTTCACCACCCAAAAACACAGGCGCTTAAATGGATCGTTCACGGAAGCCTGCCGTATGCTCATTTGCCTGCTTCTGTTGTTGTAAAAACTGAAATATTCGGCTCCCCAAAAGCCGGGCAAATATAGCTTTGAACGAAAAAGCTTCTTCAAAACATCAGGGGGGCAGTCAAAAGGGTTGCCTTTCCCGTGGAAAAGCTTAAGGCCGGCGTCGACAAGGACTGCAGCTTGCACCCGCCTGGGGCTTCGCAGTTCTGGGGCGCGCAGGAGAAGGTGCCGGGCGTGAAGACCTCGGACCGAAGGACTTGGAAAGGCGATCTTTTGGGGCCAAAACGGGAAAGCCAACATAGGGGTTGCTTTTCGTCTTGCCTTTGTGTCAGGCTACGGAGCAACCATGGCAAACTGCTCGCCTGCCAAACCCAGCCTTTCGACTTTTTGGTTTTCCGATCTTGGCCAGTTCCTTGGTTGTCCTATTGTAGTTTTCCCATGTTGCTTTGTTTTTCCATTTTATGGTTGTCCTATTGTGGTTTTCTCCCATTTCGGCCAATTCCTTTTTGTTTGTTTTTCCGGGATTTTGGGGCTTTCTTCCTTCAATGTTTGGCGTTTTTTTGGGTTCTTCATGGTTCTTCCATTTTTGTTGGCCAAATCCTTTGTGGGTGTTTTCCGGGATTTTTGGCCCCAAACCCAGCCTGTCGAACTTTTGGTTTTTCCATTTTAGCCATTTCAAACCGTGAGCCGAGTTAAAAGCACTCCGAGGAACTTCCGGCTTGGGCGCGGCATGACTGAACTCCTCAAACTGGCCCTGCTATTTGAGGAAACTCGCACAAGATGGGAGGTTGAAGAGAAACAACCAGCCAAGAATTCTGACTTTTGCACTTGCGCGTCCGTTTTCGAGGGCAGCCCTTTTTGAGGCTCATTGCAAGAAGCATCTCAAACACCGCCCTTTGCAGGCTTCCCCCATTCCAAGACAAACCCACTTTGGCAACTCGCAAACCTTGGTGTGGCTCTGAGTCTCAGCTTCGCACAGTCCGGGCATCAGCGTCAAATTCCAATTTACAGGTGGGTGCACATATCGGTCACATCATGTTTATGTACATGACTTGTGTTGCATGCCGAATGTCTGCAGTTTACAGCATACATAAATAACCTGGCGACCTCATCTAGTCAGTTGCCCGATTAGTGTGTAGGCATCAAAGTGCTCATTCACGAAGGCTGTAAACCCGTGTTCCATGTTGACTAAATTAGTTGCTGGCTACAAAGCAGCATCGCAGCGTGGTTCTCCAGGCAAGTTGGTGCTGGATAAACAAATGCAAACAATCACAGACCTGCACTGCATTATTATGCGCTAGGGAGGGAATATGGTAGAGTCTATCTATCCCCTTCTCATTTCCCTTTGCGCTGTGAATCCGCATGATGTTCTCATGCGGGGTCTATCTTAAAAAAAGAAGCCCTGATTGCCTTGTGAACAAGGGTAACCAATAGGAAACCCACCAGGAGGTGTCCCGAAAACTTTGAGAATCGCCTTTCGAAACTCAGCTGCACTCAGGTGGCACGGGTCTGGTCCCATCGGAATCCCCCGAATGGCCAAATTCACCAGCTTGAACCCAGAGACACCTTTTTGAGCGTTCCAAAGCGGAGGCTGCGATGAATTTCCTCTTTCCACTCTCAAAGCCTCTACCCTCCAATCTCGGAAGACGAGTGCTCACTTCCACAGGCTTGCTCCAGAAACTTCACCAGAGCCTAAATTTTCTGTCCCCGAGGAAAACCAAAGGACCCAAAACAAATTGTCTATCCTTGCGCTTTGGTCATTGTTTCGATGTTCGGACACTGCTCCAGTATTTTCAGCAAGATAATGCATACGAAGGGTGGCTCCCTTCTACATATATACACACCCACTCTTGTCTGAACAAAGGGAAGAGGTGCTAATCCGCTGTGGGCGCGCGGGTACTACTGCCTACTTTTGCCCAGCTTTTCAGTGGCACCTTGTGTCCCCTTGTTGTTCACTAAAAATCTCAATCAAGTATGGAAACTGCGGACACTCTCCAAACTGAGGAAACTGATAAAACTGGGAAAGCTGGGAAAATTGAGAACAACGGAAACCTGATAAAACTTGGAAAACTGGTCAAACTGGAAAAGCTGGTAAAACTGGTAAACTGGGAAAACTGAGGTCGATCAAGTCTGACCAAACCAGCGGCTTTGCTCAGGTCCAGTTCAGGTGAGCGACCGAGGCATTGCAGCTCAGCGCCACAGGGGTGCCGCTGAAGCCTGGCAGGTGGCAAATCCGAGGGACGGTGCGAGTTAACCCCCGGCTGAAGCATTGTCTGAAAAATGGGATCCGTGGGGCCCCAAATATTTCGGGATAGTGCCCCCAACATGATAGGATAGTGCTCCCGAGAAAAAAAATAATGGATTGTCCCCTTGTTTGAGGGTTGCGGGTGCGTTGGTGTGTCAGCAAAGGGAAACCCCCAGCATCAGCAGCAGTTATCATGACAATCATGACTACGCATCCTCTGCATTTCAAGTCGGGTCTAACGGCACACTTGAAATGTATATGGAAAAGAAGATGATGATCCGGATGCTGCAACATCAGTAATCAGTGATGATGATAATCATCACTATGCATCCGCGGCATTGCCAGCAGTCGTGATGATAATCGTCACTTTGCGTCAAGTCGGCTGTGGACATCATTTACGTCAGAAATGCATGTCCACCAACCACTTCGGAAGTTTTCAGTTGAAACTCATAGCATGCTTAAAACAGGCTTGTTTGAACACCTCCTTTTAGTTGCCCTAACCAGGGAACAGGGATCTGACTGGCCACTTGGGCAAGAGTTGACCCAAGCCATTTGTCTTCCAAGAAGATGCTTGCGGTTGCCCCCCACAAGCACAGTCGTAGCGCATGGGCCACTTCTGAGATACCAGACTGGGATTCCCTGACTACTTCATCAATTCGGGAAGGGTATTTGGCCACTCACAAAAAGACATGCCCTAAACTTCAACTGTAGTTCCCCAGGCTCTTTGATATCCTTCACATCTGAGCCACGGTAACAAAAACCATCGGTCACAACCCAGGTCTAATAGGTCTTCTGGCGAACGTAATATCTCTCTCTTTACACGTGATGGACATTTCTACAAGTGGGGCAGAACAAAAAAAACACCCATTTAAGCAACAAATGCAAGGGCTCCTTGCCACACCTGTTTGGTGGTGTGGACTGTCCTGAAGTTTTATAGCTTGCGTACGGTACCTGCAGTGCAAGTTCCGGGGTGTTGTACCTGGAGGTTGCCCGATTCAACATGGCGTACTTCCTTGTGTCTGTTTCTTGTTGGGGAGTCCATGTCAATTTGCACCAGGGGAGAAGGGGAACAATATAATTTTGTTTCAAAAAGGAACCAACATGGAACCAGCCGTATGGAGGGTCCGTAGTTTTGATACGTTCCAACCTCAAAAACCGCCTGATATAAGAGGACATGCATTGTACAAGGGAATCTCTTTGCAAGGTATACCCCCTCAGTACATTCAACAGGTGCTAAGGTTCCAGGAGACTGCCAAGATCCCACCTTGCAGGGGGAGGGAAGGGTGTTTCTGGTTTGGCTGCGTGCTTTGCAGCCATCCACTTGTAAGCACCCTTCTCGCGTCCATTGGCTCAAGCCAGCTGCTAATCCGATCTGACAGGTGTCTCGTACTGTTGGATCTAAGGGATCTGTTTATCCACGTAGATTCCATTCAGGGTCCGGGATTAGCGACCACACGGGAGTAGGGTTCGAGGCATTCAATCAACCATGTCCATTTATGTAGATAATTCCAAAGATCCCCGCTCCCCGAGTAGACATTCCAAAAAAGGCACCTTGGAGTCAAAGGGTGGGTGTACAGGAGAATATCCAGCTAAAGTCAAGGGTGTGTCCATGGGAGCCGCCTACTTTCCCAGAGACTCGATAACCAACCCAACATGGGAATGTGCAAAGCGAGGGTCGCTCTTTTTGGGACGGACACCAACAAACTAACCCTTTGGATGAGGATTCGTAGCTTTGACTCGTTGTGGGTTGACAGAGATCCCCTAAAGAAAACAGAGACAAAACCGCCAGCAAGGCAGACATTTCACTCATCCAGGCAGTAAGAATAACACTGTTGTTTGCACTAGATACATTTCAGCAACAGGTGACTGGGGCAAACAAGCAGTGGCTCCCCACTTGCATCTTATCTTTTTCCCCCCAAGCTGACACGTGAAACTTCACCTGAGGATTCCCGAACGAATCAAACGATAGTGATGATCGCAGAGTGTAATGGGAAAACACCAACCAGGAGCCAAGCGCCTAGTTCTGGATAGAAACAAAAGAAAATACAATCGGTCGATGTGTTTGCGAATCATAAGCCACAAGTAGAACCCAAGTGGTGTCAAACTTGTGCAGTATGCTCCAAGTGATCTAGCATAGCGCCTGCTTCGCAAATCTGCCACCTTCGAGGGACTGCATCGATCATTGGGTCTATCTCAAAGACACGGACACCTCCTTCACAGTGGACAACCGAGCGCAAACTGACAACGAAGCTGGCCGACTCCTGCGAAATAGCATGCCTGCCGCTTACTCTTTCCATGGTTGCCGCTAACACACTGCAAAAGCGGCCACTTGCGGCGCGGACCATAGCAGGCTTGCTGGGCCTGATCGAATCAGCATCGTCCCTTGCAAATTTGCCCCTGTAGAAATTTGCCACTGTGCCTCATGTGCCCTGCCTGGTTGGCACAGGCTGGTGCATTGACCTCCACCTCGGCATGTTTGGTCCGGTCACGAACGGCCTCCGAGCCCCAGCCAAAACGTGGCTTTCTGAGGGGTTCACCCTTCAAAACAACCCGAGACAGCGCAACCCGCGCAAAAAACGAAAAGGGGCACGGGGCTTATGAGCTGCCCATCGGCTCAAGCCAGGAAACCTGAACTGGTCCTTGGTTTCCCTTGGCGGTTTTCGGCGAATGCGCCGCTTCCCGCAAGGCGAGAAAAGCAGCAACCATGGTGGCTTTGGATTCCGGGATGTTTCTCTAGGTGTATTTTAGGCTTCGTGTACTTTTAATGGTGTATCTCAAGGTGTACTTTTCGTGTACTTTAATTGAACTTATGTTTGCAGTGTTGCCTGGGTCCCAACATAAAACTAGTGACGCTGACTTGGCCAAAAACCAACCTGCGGCCTTTTCCGTCTCGATGCGCTGGGGCCTCCGGCTGCCAATATTCCAGCCCTCAGCACAGGCCGGCGTCGCCGAGTCTGGCCCAGAGAAGTGGCTCGGCGGCTCGTGGAACGAGAGCAACGGAGCGGGGGGCCCAAAACATGGCTCAGAGAAACATGTCACCCGTCCCCTGTTAGCTTCTCCTTGAGGGGGAAACAAATATTATCTATGCATGTATATATATATATATATATGTATGTATATATTCATATACGTATATGGAATCGGACCGAGTGCAGTACCCTTCAAACACCTTGATTGTTTTTTTTTTTTTTTTTTTTTTCTGAAAATGTGTGCGCCACATTTGGGCACGACATTCCACACGCCACCTAGGCGGACGCTCGAGTCCAGAACTGGCGAGGGCTCCTTCCACAGAAGAGTGGGTGTTGCCTAAATTATAGAATTCCATGTCCCCATGTTGGATGGTTTTAGTCAACCCCGCCACAAAAAGAGCACCTCAGTCTTGTGGCAGGGCACCACAAACTCCACAGGTCCCATAGACTTGAAAAGTTGGTTGCTGCAATGGGGCAAGGTCTGCCCCAAGGTTCAGTGAAGTCTGTCAATGAGTATGTAGATGCCAACCTCCAAATGATGGTTTAAGTAATAAGATCACATCAACATCGGTGGATGAGGCCACCTACCCTCCCCACCAAAACAAAAACATGGTACCTGAACAAGACCCCCTGCAAGGACCATTCGGCCTTTGAAGTGACCCTCCTCACACGTATCTTTTGAGGATGTACACTGGGCAAGCATTTTGCCCAAGACAAAGTGCAGGCAAGAGCAAGAGCCTGAGTCTCACCAAATGCATCTTTTTTGGAAGGCTGACTTCTGGCGAATCGAGTGACACTTTCTCTCGGCCTTGGCTCAGACCTGACAATGGAGAAGCACTCCCGAAGCGGTGACTTTTGTTTACTTGAGGTGCCAGTAAATGATACCATGTATTCCAACAGAAACACAACAATTACAGGAAGACACTTGGACGTTGAATCAATCAGACTCGGGCCTCAAACAAGGTGTTCGACGCAAATGTCCTGCCACCTTGTTGCCGCCTTTCGCACCTTTGGCACTGGCAGTGCAAGCGGGTAAGGTAGCTCAGGGGTACTGGGCGCCGGCGGTGACTTGCACTTGCACAGGGCATCCGCGGCATTCATCGCCTGCTTAACTACTGGGCGCAGCGGGTACACTGGATTTGCGGAAAAAAAAGCCTGAAACTACCATCAGCGCAAATATCAATGAACATATGGGGTACCCAAAATGGAACCCTGGTAAATGGAACCATGGACCAAAACCTGCGGTCCCCTGGTGGTTTAATTTTGAGCCACACCCATATCCCACGTTTGGAGGTCCAACACGGAGAATTCGAGGCATGCCCGATGACAATTCTATCAGCTTGGCTTAGGAACGGGTGGTGCAGCCCTGCTACCTCCATGGTTGCTTTGGTCACCGCCATACGTTCAAAGCGGGTGAGTCGCGACCTAACCCCGGTGTCCAACAAATAAACAAACAAAAACAAACAAACAACAACAATCAAACAAATAAAACACACACACAAAACAAAACAAACTAACAAACTAACAAACAAATGCAAACAAAAAACATTAAAACAAAAAAAAAACGAACAAACAAGCAAACAAAAAAAGGAACAAATACAGAAAGAAACATAAAGAAAAAAACAAAGACAAAGATAAAGAAAGAAAGAAAGAAAGAAAGAAAGAAAGAAAGAAAGAAAGACAGAAAGAAAGAAAGAAAGAAAGAAAGAAAGAAAGAAAGAAATAAAGAAAGAAAGAAAGAAAGAAATAAAGAAATAAAGAAAGAAAGAAAGAAAGAAAGAAAGAAAGAACGAAAGAAAGAAAGAAAGACAGAAATAAAGAAAGAAATAAAGAAAGGAAGGAAGGAAGGAAGGAAGGAAGGAATAAAGAAAGAAAGAAAGACAGCAAGAAAGACATAAAACATGAATGAAACAAAGAAAGAGATAAAGAACAAACAAACAGCCAGCTTCCTTCTATTCACTTTCAAGACCATCTAACAGCGTAGCGGATTTCAACTATTCTCCATTGGTCTTGGATGGACTCGCTTGATGACAGTGTAGCGTCACGGGTCTTAGCCTATTCGCCCATGCTTAGCCTAGCCTGCAGGCATTTCGGCGCCAAACCCATCCGCCTGCGCCATGGCATTTCTGAAGTGTTGGATGTTGTCGGGGTTCTCTGTGATGTTGATCTGGATGGGCCAAATGTACCTAAGCCAACTGGCGCTGCCAAAAACAGCGAAAGGAACATGAATGAATTTCCGCCTGAGTTGACTAAAAGACACTGGAGAGTGGCCGGTCCAGAACAAAAGCCTCGTATAATGCTTAAACAAAGCAATCAAACTCACGAAAAAGAGCGGGTCCCGGGAAGACCCGGTTCAGAATACACCTTCGTGGCATTGGTTGCTTGGGTTGAGGAGGTGTCTTTACTCTTCAGTCAAGGACAACCTAGGTCTCTATCTCGCAAACCATCAACAGGTGGCCTAGGTCACATTGTCCGCTGGCTTGCTCTTGCTCAACCATTCACTGACTGCTCTTGCTTGCCTAGGTGGGACCTGACTGGCTGGTTCAGCCTAAGAGAGGCGCTTGGCCCCATGCTTGCAGCATGGGCAAAGTCCCTGTTCGCGGCCTGAAATCCCGAGGTCCAGGCGCCAGGAGACAGCCGCCATAGGAATTCATACATCCGTCCGTGACCCATCCGGCCTTTTGTCTCCCCCTGTGTACCACTGCTATTTGGGTGTTTTTTTGAGGGTACCCGTGATTGACAAATACCCATTTAACACCGCAGCGGCCGCAACCTCGCAAGATTTTGTGGGAGATGTTGACAAGTGTGCTCTGTCTGCCCCGTTTTCAAGCCCCTAAAAAAGAAGTAGAAAAGCGCTCACCGGAGGTGGCAGCCCCTGGACAACTGCATGGATAGTTTGGACGGGGCCCCAGGAAGACCTTCAAAACGAGGTCTGCTCTCTCAATACAGTACTTGGGAGACGCATATACTACCAGGGTGTGGTGTGGGTATGCATGCAACGCATGCAACATGCAATGCGATGCGATGCGATGCAATGCAATGCAATGCACTGCCGTGTCATTTCATCCAAACTCGTGTCTTTCATGAATGAAATACAAGGAATTCGTGGGAAAGGAACCTTCAACACGGGTGAGGTCGCAATCCTTTTGCGAGGCCGCAATAATTTGCCCAAACATATGCATATAGACCAGGAGTCCCCAAACGTGGGACTAACACCAGAGGGTCGTCCCCGAATGTCATACACCGCCCAAATGAATAAATACATGAGTAAAGACAAAGTAAACAAATAAATAACACAAACCAAAACAACTACACAACACATAAGCTAACATGCAACCTGACCTCATCTGGAAGGCATAGCAGGGATCCTCTGGTGGGTTCCATGGCAGCGTGGACAGCTGCGTATCTTATATGTAAAAACACGTGCATAATGCATGTATGAACGGTTGCATGTATATGTGTATGTGTATACGTGTGTATGTGTGTATGTGTGTATGTGTGTATATGTGTACGTATCTATGTATCTATGCATATAGGTATGTATGCATGTATAGGTATGTATGTATGTATTTACGTATGTATGTAAGTGATGGTATGTATAGCTATCTGTCCATCTATCTGTGTATCTAACCTATCTTCTCAATCCAATCTAATCTATCTATATCTATATTAGCTGTAACACTGCAGGTCACTCAAAGCATGCATATATCTATATATTAACATATTTAAAAAAACATAAAAATAAAAAAATGTAAATATAGTTTCGACCCGTGCCAAGGCGCATGATCTTGCTCAAGGGCTCTCCATATAAGGCCCGCGTCACCTCCCCGGAGCCCAGGAACTTAAGCTCGTCCCTGGCCCGCTTGGCCAGCGAAAACTCGTTCACGTCCTCGGTGCCGCGCTGCGCGCTTCGCGTTTCGCGCCCGCGGGGAACTCGGGGCTTGCCAGACGCTCCGAGCTCAGCTGACGTGCGGAAGGGGAAGCAAGTTGAGTTCGAAAGGAATCCAGTGATCTCTTTGTGTGCCTACAAAACTTCTCTGACTAGCCTACTAGCCCGAGAAAAGCGTATCTACCGGAATGTGGACCGGCGCCCCAAACCCATGTTTTGTTTCCACTATTGAGTTGCCACAGGCCTTCGCTCTAAGGTTAGAAGTATATATTGGGCATGCGAAGCATGCTCATCATGGGCTGTCATGTGCTTCTATAGTAAGCGGCTCATTTTCGCCCCCAATGTCGGATCACTTTCGGCCCTTAAACAGCAACAAAAACGCTGGGAGAACTCAATTTTCTGCTCAGAGGTTGGATCACTTTCCCCTCCCCCCCCAACCACTCCCCCAATTCAATTTTAGGATCACTTTAGCCTGCCGGGATCCAACCAGTCACAGATGGACTGCCGCCGCGTTACCATTAATTTGTAGGCAACAAGTTAACAAGGGTACATCGAGCGCTGCTTGGGTAACGGGCCTCAGGCTCAGCTTTCAATTCGTAATCCACGTTGTCTTCCATTTGATTAAGCCCCCGGAAAAAAAAAAAGGAAAAAAATCCAGTAGTGATCGATTCCTTTTAAAACCAACAGGGGAAAATTTAAAAACAAAATATTCTTAAACAAATGGAAGTTATGAGTTGACTCTAGGTGGAGGAACACACAAAATGGGTGGCTTCTCTTTAGCTTGGCAACCCCTACGCAGGCAATTGCGTGAACATAAGGACCTCTTTGTGTGTCATGGTGGCTAGCTTTACAGCCATTCAAAGGGAGCCTTTCTTTCGAAACATATCTCTGAAGAACAACTGGCCGGCCGAAAAACAAGAGATGCCCGAATGCGGAACTTCACTCATGCGTGAGCTTACAAACCCCTTTGCGAGGTCGCTGGCTTCGCAAACACGAGCCAAGAATCTTAGCCAGACTTAGGTCCCCCTACCAAAGTGATGCTGCTTGCTGTGGAAAGGGGAAAAAGGAAGAAACCCATTCGGGCAAAAGACCTAAAAACAAAAGTCGCTCCATGTTCCCTGCAGCTTTGTCCACAACAAGCCGTGGCGCCGCCTTTGGGTCGTGATCTCTATTCAGCTGCCCGTCGCCACCGCAAAAGGAGGACGTGGGGTTCTGGACAAGTTCGAGGCGAGGGTACCTCTTCTCCTCACTGGTCCACCGCGGATCATCTCCTTGGCCGATGGTGGATTTTTAGGTGGGCAACAGGGACTGGCACTCAATGAATGGTTGCCAAAATGGTCCACCTCCATCTCCTCCGATGGGGTGGCCGCCCGTTGATGTTTTTAGGTCAGCAAGGGCCTGAAACTCACTAAATGGTTGCCAAAATGGGACCAACACCTCAAAAGGTCGTCGGGGCAAGCTAAAAAGTCTTGGGGATGGGCCAACCAGACAGAAAGAGCAGAAAATCCACGCAGGGTCTCCTCAGTTGTTCAGTGACCCTGGAAAAAAAGGACCCTTTTTTGGGAAGACCATGTGTAGTGGGGCAGCCACCAAAAAAATGGAAAAAGGGTGCCACTGAACTCACTGCACAACTGAGTCTCTGTAGGTGTCTTCCATCATCTTGTAGAAGTGGTTGAACACCGCCTCAAAGATGAAGCTGGCTCTGGCCATGTGAAAGTCCGAGGTGATAATGAACCTGGGCTGCTCACTTACGCCTTGACGTTGCAACAAGCTTGTATTTTTCAAATATACGACTGTGGGTCAAAGCCCCGTACCCCTGGTGAACATCAAAATAGGTGGTACATGGGTGTTCATCCGCCCCAAAATGGAGGCATAGGTTATTGACCCGTGGCCATACATGCTGACTGTGCTCCGTGACGCTTCGGGCTTCATGACCGCACAAGACGTGTCGAGTTGCTTTGAACACGCCAATACTCGATGATGCTTCGTTGATGGTTGTGCAAACATTGCAGCGCAAAATCATTGGCCTCTGCTACTAAAAGCAAGCAAATGGCTGAAAAACCACCTGCAATCAACAGGTGAAGAACCACCTGGAGAATCCCAGCCAACCACCCCAAAAGGGGGCCCGCCTTTAGCACGCAAGACTCGAGAAAGCAGCCCACCCAAAGCCAACACAACACAGCAAACAAAGCAACCAACAAAAAACAAACTTTCACCAACCAACCTGACTGAACACATATTAAATCCACTGGCCTTCTTTGTTTATTTGTTTATTTTTGCACTGCTTCGTCCGAGAAACAGCTTCCCCGTGCCCTTGGGGATCCACCGCAGCAGGAACCAGGCGTTCTCCGCCGTAGTCGTGGCCTGGGACTCCTGGATGATGCGCTCCGCGGGGATGCCGGCGTCGATCAGCGCCTGCGCCATCTGGGAGGCTTCCTTGGACGGATCGGACGGCTCGGAATCCAACCGGAAACGGGTCATTGGTCGAGGGGTCCATCAGTTTTGGTGGGGCTTTAAAGGTGGCCACCCAACGATCCTCCTTGGTGGCTTTTTTTCTGGGAAATCAACAGGAAAACGGATGCCATTTATAGGGGGTCCCCTAAAAGAAGGACACACCCAACGATCCTCTTTCCAGCAATCATGGAAGCTGACAGGGGCCATGACCCCACATGGGAACTCAAAAAGGGGAAACCAAAAGGTCAAAAGGTTGTTTCGGGCAAGTGAGTTGTGGAAGGCAATAGTCCTCTTGCAAAGGCCTGTCAACATATCTGCAAAAGGGTTCAGTACTTACTACTGTATGCCAGCTGGAAGCAAGCTAGACCCAGGCTTGAGCAAACAAAAATGCAAACAGCGGTGACCTGGTCGCCGTAGGCCTCATCAAAAAACACAATGTGCTCGATCTCTTGGTGTCCTTGCCACAAAGGGCAAGCCTTTGTCCCATGGACTAAAGCTTACATGACTTCTCATGGGGAATGTGGGGAACAAACCAAACCTAAATTCCGTCCCTGATGATAAGACAATACAGTAGACCTTTGCCAATTTTGGCCCCTCACCCGTGTTTCGAACAAGAAACAAACCTAACCTCGAAGCCCCCCAAAAGACGACGCGCAGGTCAAGTTTGCCCCCCGCCCCGCCGCGACCATTCACCCCCCCCCCCCCCCCCGCGTTCTGTTTTCCGGATGCTTGACCTCCAGAGCGCGTGTGCCAAAGAGCCCTTGCTTGTGCCAACAGGATAGAAAAGAGGACATCATATCACCAGGACGCATCCTGAACTTCCTCATCCACCATTCATACGTCCTTGTCGGTTTCGTGATAGATCCAGGGACACAGTGAGTGACCATGGTGGGCAAATCATTCTTCTAGGGGTTCCCCATTCTTTTCAGCCATTGTCCTTCTCAAGAAGCAGCCATTTCCCCAGGGTTTTGGGTGGTTTTCTAGAAAGAAGGATCCCTGGAAAAAATGGGGAAGCTACCCTTAGAATTGTGGGTCATTGGCCCGTCCCTTTTGCCGAGGCTCAGTATGGCCCACCCCCGCCGGGTCACCCCCCGAGACCACCACCTTCACAATTTGCCCCGCATCCAGCAGACGCTTCGCCGCAGAGGCGCGGTCCAGCAAAACCTCCCAAACCCGGGGGGGGGGGGAGGAGGGGGGGGGGTCCGGGGGGGGGGGGGGCAATGGAAAGGTGCACCGAAAAACACAAAAACAAAGCATATTACTTACTTGTGTACTTACGTATATGCAGTTGGTGTATATATATATATATGTAAATGTGATATTATGTTGTTCTAGAAAGGGTTTGGATGTGGCTTTTATGGATCCCCCCCTTGTTTGATATTAAAAGAGTACTAAAAAAACACAGGGGGAAGAACAGGTGACATCCACAAAAAGCGCATCCAAACCGTTTCCTAGAGTTACATACACATGTCCTCCATTGCATTGATTTGCGCGCGCATGCGCGCGTGCAGGTACGCATGTAATCTAGTTTGTGTCCAGTCATCTCCGGTGCACGCTCCCATGTAGACTGCTTCAATGTATCCGAAACGCCCACACACCCACCCAAGCATGCACTCTCTCACACACACACAAGCAGGGTTCTACAAATCAGCATTCCCCCGCGAGGAACCTTACTGGAATGTGGCAACTAAACGCTTTGTAGTGCGTCAGAAGGTGCTTTGTCAAAGGAGTGAGAGAAAAGGGTACCTGTTTTGTGATTCTTCCCCTCCACAAACAAATATTGACATTTTCGCGATTGAAGTATCCCCACCTAGATGATAACCATCCACCAAAACAGCAAGTGTTGCAGAAAGAGAATATCCTGGAGCGTTTCCCAGTGTCCGGCTCCAAGGGGAACCCTGCTCGGTGTTGCCTATTTTCGGACCTTCAATTTGGTGAAATAGAAGTATACTGGGGTCTGCTGATTGTTTAGACTTTCCGCATTCTTGACACACCCTTTTCACGGGGAAAGCCACCCCTGGTGAGATTGTCCTTCCATTGAATGACACACCGCGCAAGTCGGGCCTGTGGCTTGGAGCCGTCTGGGCGTAGGGACTGGCCCAAGACCACGGCGATGGCCTGGTCCGCGCCTTCGGTGATGGAGGTCAGCCACGGCGGTAGCTGATTCTGCGAGTCCCAGTCGATGCCAAGCCGCGCCTCGGCTCTCTCAGCTCGGCCACCGGGCGAGTTCGAGAAATTTTTGGATGGGTCTAGTGGAATATGACAGGAGAGGGTTTGATTGAAGAACCTGGGCGAAAAAGCAAAAATGAACAAACTGGCGGCCACCCCTTTTGTTTGCTGGGAACACAAGCGAGGTCAAACGGATTCGCCGAGAAGCGCCGGTTTCGGTTCGGCTCTCCTTGGAGTACACGATGGCAGACGTGTGCAGGGGAAGACAAGCTATGAAGAGCAGGGCGCTCAGAAGAGCGACCAAGCTGCGGTCCGATATCATGGTCCGCGGTCGCCGCGGCAGGGGAAAACACGTTCAGGACATGTCTGAACAAGTGGAACTGGAGCCGAAGGCGGCAAAAGAAGCGCAAGTGATGTTCTTGTCAGAATGCTAATTGGTTGTGCATATGTTTCTCAAATTCCATGTGTTTGTCCAAACTACATAAGCCTTTTTGGACCTCCTTTGTAAGCAACCCCACAAGGGGAACGGGTTTCAGAGGCCGAAGCGATGCCGAAGCCTTCTCCGCTTGGGGATGATCTATTGTTTGAAGCTCACCTGCCAGTGCAAACAACTGCTCAAGATTTCCTGTAGCAGTAGCCAACGATTGCAGCCAGCGAGATTCCGAGCAGTAACACCAAATCCACCAGCTGCTCCAAGTCTCGATGTGACACAGGCTGGGAGTCTTCTCACTCTCTCAGCGAACATGGAAGCTCGGACCCCGTGAAAATTGGACTGTCCTCTTGAAAGGGCTACCCTGTGGCTTCCATGTTCGCCTAAGGGAGGGTATCCAAAAGGGGACCGCTCCAATGTCGGGGCGCCGATCGGGATCCTAGCCGCACCAACAAAAAGTTCATCCTTTGCCTAGGTTCCAGTTGCCAATAAGCAGACGAACTAACATCCAAGCGTGTGAGTAACAGTGGATCGCAAAAAAATACGGGGCTCAATCAATACTGCGACATGTCACGTATTGCGCACATCCCAGCAAGACTGCCTTCTTGAAATCGAAACTCCCCCCGCACTGCCGCATGATTTGCCCTCCCTAGCCGCAAAGAACAAGGTCAGTGGGCTTGAGAAACTCATAGCTCTTGGATACTTCTGTCTAAACGAGGTCTTTGCCGCGCACCGTTTGGGCCTGTCTTCAAATTGGGAAACCTTAACTGGGCTTCCCTTCAACCCAGCCAAGTGCACCCTCAAGGGCAACGAGCATTTGCAGGAGTGCAGAGGTGCCCCACATCGAGCCGCACCCTATTTCTAACCCCCTCATGTCACTCCCCCCAAGACTCTCGGGGAGTTTCCCATCCGCAGCCTTGGACGCCCTGGGGTGCTGGGCAAACCCCGGGAGCGCAAGTAAAGCGCGGCGGCCGCATGGCGCCGTCCTCGGGGCTCGGATGGGTGGCTTCTCGCGGGGATTGCCTCGATATCATGTCTCACACGGATTGCCTGGCGCCAACCATGCCAGCAATTCTGAACTGCCACCAAAAATAAATAAATAAATAAATAAATATATACCTGGACCAACCAAGGGCACTTCTTTGCGACTATCCGCAAAAATCCGTGCAAAAACTGTACTTTCTTGCGGGCTACAATAAAAGACACGGCATCATTCAACTGCTGTTCCTGCTAGAACCTCACGTTCAGATCCGGCCCTGGCACTGGAGATTGTCATGCTCATGGGCCGAAAAACCCATAATTGAATGCGTGCAATTTAACAATGACAAAAGGTACGCATTTCCCCTTGCAAATGTTCCGCTGATTTCCGCACATTCTCGGCAGATTTCCGTACTTCTTCCGTACTTTTCCCGCCGATTTCCGTACATTTCCCGCCGATTTCCGTGCACTGCATATTGGCTGAGAAAACTGGAAACTTGCAAAAGCGGCAAGGAAGCTGTCACACGTTGCCCCACAGCAAATAGAGACGAATGACCTGAAGCGAAATTAAGTATGACGAGCCATACAAATTGCAAACTGTACTGAAGCGCTTCAGCGCATCCAGGAACACCACAAACGCTCACAGACTGCTAATGGCGATTTCCGTCAAATTGTCTACTAAAAAGTGTTCATGCACAAATTGTTCGGACATGTACGGAAATTTCAGTACATTCGGAGGGTGTATAGATTACCTGGATACCTGGACCCTCCGGCGGCAGAACTTTCTGCCGAAAGGCCCCGGCGGCAGAAATTTCCGCCGGAGAGCAGAAAAAACGCCGCCCGCGAGAATAACAACACGCCCAAACGCAACAAACACTCCGACATGCTGAAACCTGCTTCCGCGAAATTCCGCTGATTTCCCGCCAAATGCCGCCGATTTCCGGGCCAAGAAACAATATTATTGGAAGTTATCAACTCCCAAGGGTTGACGCAGGTTCTCCCCCTGAAGGTCCCTTGTATTTTGCGATGACGCCTTTTCGGCCTAAGTACCTCTGAAGGTGTCAAGGGAAGGTTTCAGACCTTCAGTGGCCATCGGAGAAGGGCATGTTCTGTGAGTTTTGTTTGTGGGAGAAGGGCATGTTCTGTGAGTTTTGTTTGAAAGGGGAACCTCCAAACAAGTTGAAATGACTTTACTTCGAACTATCAGTGATTGTGAAGGGGAGTTCCCCCTCCCAAAAACACGTGACAAAACCAAGCCCGATAATAATTGAACAAAAAGACAAACCCAAGCTGAAAGAGCCACCAAAATTGAAAACACAACTTGGAATACACCAACTGAAGCAAGGGAAACCACTGCAGGCCTTCGACCCCTCGTCCCATTCGAGGCTTGGGCCCAGCAGTTGAGCTGCGGCATCGCCTTCGAAGGAACCCTCTGGCTGGTTTTGCGGCTTTGTCATTGTTGTTTCTTTTCCCCGCGCGACAGGTTTGGGTTGTTAGATTTTGAGTGACATCCGACCGCGACAACCAGCCCGACAGCCGACACGCCTGTGACAGACAGCTGCGACACAGCCTGTGACAGACAAACTCTGTAATAGACAGCTGCGAGAGCCTCTGACAAACAGATGTGACAGAGCTTGTGACAAACAGCTGCGACACAGCCTGACAGGCACATGACATATCCACAGGCAGCTGTGACAGAGCTGCGACCGTCCGAATCCTGTCCTGACGCTCCCGCCAGTGGCCGGGGCACGACAGCCACGACAGCCACGACGGTCAGGACAGCAGCGACAGCCCGAGGTTTCAACCAACTTGTGCCTGGAGAAGGCCCCTTCTGCTTCTTCCCCCGTGGAAGCGCGCAGGGAGGGGCCTATTTTGCGAGCATTCCGCATGAGCTTCGTCCATGGGCAGAGGCCACGTCAAGGCTGGGGAAAGCACCCCGGCGTGTCAACACCCGCCCGATCTGCCCTTGCTCATTGCGGCCGGAGCAAGGGCAGCAGGCAGCTTCATCTGCGCAGGAAGAAGCATTTGTCTACTGAGCCTTTAATGTCTCAGCTGGGGAATTGTTCGAAGTACAAGAAATTCGTATTCTGCGGTCCCCAAACCCTACCGGCCCTCCTCTAGACCCTGAATAACTGAACCTGATTTCTAGACTCCTCTCGGCACCTGACATCTGTACCAAAGCCGTCCTGTCTTGCTCATCATGGTGAACATGGATGAATGTGCCCCCGCCATTCCCTACATTCGGATCCAGTGAATGGCGAGTGTCATCCAAACATACTTTGCCAGGCAACTATAGTTTGTGAGGTCGCCATGATGCAAGTTGCCAGACTGCTGGTGAGCAGATATGTCGAGCATGTGCCGGGCCGAGCTAAATCCCGTTGTTTTTTTTTTGGGGTGTGTGTTCCTTTGAAAAGGCGAAGCGATGTGTCTGTGGAAATGCTTGTCGAACAAGGTGGTTCCAAACTTGGATCGTCTTTTGGAGTGTTTTCGTTTTTTGAGGGCACCTTTGTTGGGGTTTATCTTGGCAAGCCAAAGGAAACCGACATGTGTTTGCTGTTGTTCTTCTCTTTGTGCTTTTTTTTGGGGGGTGGTCACATGTCTGACCCCTGGAGCCACTTTCAGTGCGTGCAACCAACTCTCAGATCAAGAAATCTCTCCCGGCGTGAAACATGACAGCAACACCAAAGGCACTCGCCCCCCAAGAAAGGATACAAGAAGATTCTTAGGTATACTGACCGGAGAGTTGAAAACATGTGGTGTAGAGAGTCCTTATGCATCTCCTCTGAAGCTTGTCTTACCCTCCACAACAAAGACACGCTCAAATGAGAACAATAGACGTGGTTGTGGAAAATACCTTTGTTGTGATGACAAAGTGGGCCATCCCTGTGACTACGTTATCACTTCAATTGGGTTGTCATTCGTATAACAGAAAGTCAACATTTCATTTCCCGTAGCCATGCTGGTTAGCAGGTCCTTCGGCCTTTTGGCCGCACAAACATCTGGATGCACTCCACAAAATCTGGCTTGTTGAACCCCCTCAGATTCTGTACTCTGGCTCCACTCCACGGAAGAATTCATCATGGTCGGTGGAATCCATGTTCTGACCCGACTCGCTAGCAAAACAAATAAACACCCTTCGGGCCTTTCGCCAAAATTCAAAAAGGAGTTTCAGTTTACTGGCTACATACAACCTACGGAGGCTTGCCAGGGGCAAAGCTCTGCGAGCCCCTTCTTCCCACGGCCTTCTGCAGATCCGCATCCAATGCCACCAGCGGGGAAAAGCCTTCTCCACAGACAGGGCCTCAAGTGGGGAGGATCCTCTGATTCACTTCCTTGGGAGGGACACAATGAGACACCAACGAAAACCCGAGAAAGCACCTGGTGCTACTCAAAGTCATAACCTTGAAGCCTCCTGGATTCCATGTTCATCCTTAACTCGAATGAAGCAGATCACTGGCTTCTGTCATGC